TATATATATATTATATCGCATTATATTTTTCGTCAAAATCATATTTCAAATTGTTCATTGAACATCATACGATACAGGGAGCTTTTTGCAAACTTTATCACAAGTCTTCCTGATGACCTGGTGCTGGCTAATACTAAACTAATATGTATGCTATGCACATATACACGCATACGGTGACATCCATGTCCACAGATGCATGCGCACTTTCAGGCACATGTCTGATACTTCGCTGAGTGTAGTTAGTTGACTACGGGCAAAAAAACCCTAAAACCCTAAGCCCTAAAACCCGGTCGACGATTCATCGGTTTGATGACTTACTGCTCTCTTTCCCTGAATTTCTTTGCCATTTGATACGCATGGTCAGGTGGTTGAACGTCAATTTGCTGACTGAAATTCCCGTCGGACTGTGTGATACCAACGTCGCTCTACAGGATTTCAAATTCACCAATAATCTAGTGCGGAAAATGCCCGTGCGCCTATTCGCCAACACCCCGAGCCTAATTCAAGTGTAAGTCCATGCGTATTGACAACTACACCAGCCTCTGGCGTAGGTTGTATGCGGCCCAAATCGTATTGCCACACCACGTTTGATACTGTACCGTGAGCCCGCCTTGAACCCTAACCTTCATTATAGTCTGCACCGTTAGTTACTGACTCATCGCAAATACATTACCCAGTATCACTCATCGACGTACTCGAGACTAATGGCTTGCTTGTCTTTTCCACCACATCAACCGACGCACACACTCACACAGGGAAGCGAATGCCAACCCCCTCACATGCATAGCCCCGATCCCCGTTACTGCTAGCTACACTGGCAACTGTCCCTGGTTCTTTCAAGCATGTGCCGATCTCCCTCTGTGTACATGAGAGAATGTCTTACTAGAGTGTGCTAGGGAAACTTGCACGCCATATTCGAGGACCGAACTTCTTTTCCGAAACGGATGCGTATCAGGCAATGACGAAGAGGTTGCCGCATTAACTGTGCATACAGAGGAGTTAGACCTTTCTTTGGAAATGCACAACATACTGTCCGGTTGGAGATGGCGTTCGTTCCAGGTTCCACTTACAGCGCCACATACTCAGAAATATAGCACCCTATTCAAATATAACTATACTATATCCTTTGCAGAATCACAATAAATATACAGTACCACCTATAGGAAGCATGTGGGACTTCTTTTACCGCTGTTCGAGGGGCACCTCATAACTCAAAGAGGTCCAGAATAAGTGAGACCATGTTCATGTCTGAACATACACCATGTGCATGCATCGAGTACTAGAATAACCACACATCTGTTTTAAAATGATGGAATCAAGTATACATGCTGATCACTCGCGTGCAGTAAGTTATCAGGTTACCACATCATCATTCGAACACCAAACACTACGCTTATGCTGACGTTTCTATCATGATATCTATATATCAGATGAAATGAACATCATCAAACTATATATATA